GAACGTGGTATTAAGGGCATAATAAAAGGGATAGAAAGGTAAAGTGAGATTAACTAGACTGGAAGTTGGGGTGGGACTGTGTAGCCCTCAAAGGGAAAGGGAGAAGAGCACTGACGACTTTTGTGAGAGGCCTAGCTACAAGGGAGGGTCGGGGTCAGACAGGGAAAACGCCCAGAAGGAAAAAAAAACAACTGATATTCAGTGATGAGAACTTTAAGAGAGAACTTTAAGAAAGTGGTGTATCTAAGCTCAGGGACAGCACCTAAGCCCTGAGTTTAGCCTCCAGGATAGCACAACCTCTCCCACTGCCAAAAGAAAACAAAAACCCACACACAAAGAAAAGGTAGGGTATCAAAAATGATTGAGACTTGGAGCCCTGGGTGTCTGAGAAGATTCTGGTTTGGTTAGCAATTATGCAACAACAGAGGATGGAAGAGTTGTCATTAGTGGAGTGTTGATGAAAGGTACTAATAAGACAAGGAGGTTTCGGCAGAAAACCATAAACACTGGACTTGAACTGCAGGCAAAGAAACCAACAGGGAAACAAGTTATACTGTGAGACAGCTGAAGGTAGATAAAGGATGAGATGGTGCTGGCAGGGAAAGAAACGAGAAAGCTTGGGCCCAGAGTAATCCATCCATCACTGAAGGAGGAGAGGAAGGGAGGGAGTGTGAGTGCCCATGAGCACCCTTGTCCCATAAGTAAGGGACTAGCTCTTTATTCTCAATGATCTCAGTCTGTTCCCTGAGGTCTTCTAGCTTCAACCAGGCTCTTTTCTGGCCCCAACCTGGGATACTTCAGGGTCCCTAAGCACCATAGGAAAGCATGGAACATGAGGAGCAAGTAACATCCAACCAGCTACTCTGTGTGGATTCCAGGCCCTTGTATTTCAGCTGGCCATCAAGATTTCACCTCTCTACTCAGCAGAAGGAGGTGAGCAGGTATCATGGTAAGTAGAAACACTGGGGAAAAAACAGGAATCCAAGACAGGAATGACAGAGGCATGTAGAGTAACTCTATACTGGTGAAAAGTCTTCCTCAGTTCTGCTTTCATGGGTTTTGGAAAGTGAAGATACAGAGCTGGGAGAATAGCTCACATGATAGAGTGCTTCCCTAGCAAACCCTAGGTGCGGTTTTCAGTGTGGCAAAAAGGGAAAAGAAAAAACAAAAGGAAGTTCAATTGTAAGTGGTTCTTTGAGAGACCAGAAGGCAGAGAACACTTCTAAATGTTTCAGCTGATTGCCTATAACCATTTAGATAATCCTAGCATCCAAAACCAGTTGCCATGGTGAACTCTAAATATTAATGTCTCACAGTCCTAAGCTGAAACAGAAGAAGATTAACTGCATGCAAGCATGCTACGAGGGAGGTCAGGAGGCATTCCTCTGAAGGGCAAAGGGACAGATTTGGGATTCTGGAGTCCTCAGCCAGTATATTCAGCAATGAGGGAGAAAAGCCAAAGAAGAGAGACCCAGACACACAGAGAAAGGACAGACCTTATCTCTTCTCTTCCTTGGAAATACCTTCACAGGAGGTATTAGGAGAAAATCAAGCCTTCCCTTTGATTAATTTATACACAAGTAGGCTGATTGGGTCAGGTCAGAAACTTATGACGTTCCTGGAATAAGGTTCTGATTACATAAAGTTCTTTTTCCTCCAGATTTTTTCCTCTTCTTTTGTTTTTTGTATGGGATTTGAACTCAAGATCTTGTGCTTGCTAGGCAAAAGTCCTACTACGTGAGCCACACCCCTGCACCCCAGCTCCCCCAGTCCTTCAGGGCTCAGTATTATGGCAATAAGGATTAACTACTACTATGCTCAGAAGATCTTTTATTTTTATGTGTTAGCTCCACAGTACCCTCCTAGAGCCATCAAAGGATAGAACAAAGAGCAGAAGAGGGAGGAAGATCTGGCGCTTTGATCCCATCACCTGGTAGAATTTGTAGTCCTACCACAGCATAGACATGCTCCGTGTAACAATGTTTGCCTTCTCATATAAGACAGGATGTGCCATCTAGCCTAGCACTACAGGCGGCATGAACTGTCCAGATGGGTTTGTGTAAGTATACTGTGTAAGCACAATGGCCAGGTCACCTAAGCATGAGTTTCTCAGAACTTATTACATTTCTCAACTGGCATTAACTTTTGGAGAAACACACACGTGCACACACACACACACACACACACACACACACACACACACACACACTCTCTGCTCTCTTCCATTTCCAAGTATATGCTCTAGTGAGCTAAATGTGCATCCCAGGAAAAATACAACATTAACTTGAGGAACCCTAACCACCACTCTTGGCTCTGCATGGGGCCTCAAGCAGAGCTAGCCTTTTAAAAATCATCTGGGAAACTTGTAAAAAATAGAGATTCATGCCAGGCGCTGGTGGCTCATGCCTGTAACCCTAGCTACTCAGGGGACAAGATCTGAAGATCGCAGTTCAAAGCCAGACTGGGCAAGGAAAGTCCAATAAATCACCAGAAAACTGGAAGTGGCTCTGTGGCTCAAGTGGTACAGCACTAGCCTTGAGCTGAAGAGCTGAGGAAGGCCCAGAGTTCAAGTCCCATGACAGAAAAAACAAAAAAGAGATTCATGTGTCCACTACTTGAGATTCTGATTCAGCACACCTGAGCACCTATTTAAAACATTAAAAAAAAAGCTTCCCAGGTGGATTGGAGCATGAAAACCAGATATGGACTCACTGACCCACTGGTAAGTCACCATCCACTGACCCAGCCGGGCACTATTATTATGGAAACCATGGATGAACTTCCCTAGCCCGACCAGATCTGGGGAGTTTATTACTGCCCCAACCCCCTGCAAAGCACACATGTTTCAAAGATATAGGGCACTATTTTTGGAAGAGATGTGTTTCCCCTCTTCAGATATTTATATTGAGGAAGAAAAAGCAAAGCTTATATTTTCTTGTCTGAAACCAAATTCAACACAAAGCAGATGTCCTTGGCTCCTACTTTAGTGGAACTAATGAGCAGTTATTTCCTGAGGCAAATTTCAGACTGTCTAAAGCTGTCGTAAGGTGCCTAACTGGAGAAATCTTAGGACCACAAGTTTATCCTGATAGTTAGGAGAACAGGAGGTGACTGGCCCTAAGGACATAAAGACTCCAGTTTGCGGCAGACTTGGAAAAGGATAGCCCTGTGGGGTTATGGATGCAAATACATCTGACAAAATACACCACACTTAGGCTCTCTAACTAACCTGAGGAAAAAGCACTACCAAACTTCCTTTAGGCTCCAGAGGCAGAGATAGGGTACAGAAAGGGACTGAGAAAGGTTTTCTTTGACTTTGTGTTACAAGATTGGCCTGATGGATTCAGCGCTCTTTTCTTCCAGCATACAAACAAGAGCTTTACAATTGATGGCTCTTGGGGTTGTCACTGCTCTTTGTAAATCCTGCTACATCTCCTCTGGATATCAAAGTGAACTGTCCTTTCCCAAGAGGCTCTCTGGGATTCATCACCTAGCCAGACCTATTAAACCAAGGCAGGAGAGGGTCCTGTGGACACCAACATATGGAGTTTTGAACACTTCCCCACTGGTATGTGTGACAGAAGACGCTGGTCCTTTTCTGAAAATAGAATTGTTCCTTTTGGGTCTCATCCCCTCTCTCTAAGCACCTGACCCAAGCACTTCTTCTTCTTCTTCTTCTTCTTCTTCTTCTTCTTCTTCTTCTTCTTCTTCTTCTTCTTCTTCTTTTTTTGGTTGTAGGTCTTGAATTTTGGGCCTGGGCACTGTTCCTGAGCTCCTCACCTCAAGGCTAGCACTCTACCACTTGAGCCACAGTGCCACTTTCCCCAAGCACTTCCTGACTTCAGGCAGAAGGGGCTTTTAAATAGCCACCCAACCTTGTGTGCTGAGCCCTGCTCCAAGAAATGTTTCCCATTGGCTTCCTCCTAGTTCAGGACCCTGGGAACCTAGCTCCACCCGTTGAGCCAGCTGGTTCTCAGCACATTCCATTCTGCCATCCACTCAAAGCTCACAGAGCACAAAGATCTGTAACTATCTCCCTTTCCAAAACCTTTGCACAACTCTACCACCTCTGTCCTCCAAACCCAGAGCCACCATCCAGGATTTATAACCTTCCTTTGCTAATACAACTATTATGTCTTCCAAAATACCAGTGTGACTACCAGTGGGACCCTCACCCCACATCTGGGCTCCCGGAGAGGGGTGGCCACTAGGAAACACTAGGGAAACCTGATAAATTTAAGAAGGAATGGTCCACCAATTTCATTTTTCAGGTCTGAAGAAATAATGAGAAACTGACACGATGATATGATGTGAGAAGGAGCTAGAAGAGAGACAGAAGACACTGTCAAAGGGCTAAGCAGAAAAGAGAAAGAAGGTTCATATTGCAATATTCCAGGAGAAATGTTTATTTCAAGCCTCCTTCACTTTATTTACTAGTATTCTGAAAGTCATTAAGACCATCCAATTTGCTCTAGGATCCTGGATGTCTTCTGGCTCTGCTGGGCCACATGAGCACGAAGTGAGTCTACCCATTCACTCAGATGGTCTCTGGCTATTGTTGATGACTGTCTTAATGCAGCTGTTAATTGCAGAGAAGTACCCTTTCTCTATCTCCCTCCTTTCTCTTTGGTCTGTCTCTCAGGTTTCACCTCCAGATTCTTAACCTGGGACTATGTGGACCTTGGGTCTTAGGAACTTTTGGATATTGAACACATTGTGTGTGTGTGTGTGTGTGTGTGTGTGTGTGTGTGTG